GGCTCAGGCTCAGGCTCAGGCTCAGGCTCAGGCTCAGGCTCAGGCTCATGACCAGAGCCTCCTGCTCCTGCCACCATGACTTCCTCACCATGATGGACTATTTCCTGAAAGTATGAGTCAAAATACCCGTGTTAATCCCACCAGGCAAGAAGAAGACCACTACCATCATTTTCAGCCGAATGTAAAGCAAGTTTGATTTTTATTGGGGTGTACCTGAGAGCTGGCCAGTGACTGTGTCCTATGTTGGATTCAAGAGAACAGCCATGAGCCCGTTTCTTAGGACCCTTTTAAGAACTTAAATCATCAGTAGTTGCATAGCAAGTTTACAGAACACAAAACCCACAGCTATTACCCTGGGATTTGGGAGGGCTAGGGAGAGTTTGGGTGTTCCCCAAAAATGTGACAAGGTCATGGTTGGGGCATGTTAGGTTCCAGGAAACAGAGACAGAAACTTATTTTTAACAATCCAGCATAATGACCTCTGCCTTCAAACTGGAGCCAGGCAGGTCCCTCATTTTCTCCCATATTTGCCTTTGTAAAGGCATTTTTTTGTTTTTTGGTCACAGCAATGACCAATGGCTAGGACAAACTCTCCAGGACCAACCCCATCCTGACCAGCCATGGGGAGGCAAGAGCTCATCCTTAAACTTTGTATCTTTGTTCCTCATGAGTGACTTGGCCTCTCTCTTTTTACCCTGTTGGGAAGGAGCTGAGGGCTGGAGAGATGGCTCAATGGTTAAGAGAATTTTTGTTCCAGTGGACCCAGGTTCAGTTTCTAGTGCCCACATGGCAGTTAACAACTGTCTCTAACTCCAATTCCAGGAGACCCAACACCCTCTTTTGTCCTCTTTGGGCACCAGGCGTACATGAACTATATGTACATACATACATACATGCATGCATGCATGCATACATACAAGCAAACAAAAAAGCAGGTAAAACATTCATAAAATAAAATCTAAAAATCTATTTTAGAAAAATGAATGATCAGAGAATAGTTGACTCACTCATTAGGGAAGCTTCACCAAATACCCTGTAGGGGTGTGAGGCAGGAGGAAATGAAACGAAATGCCAAGGTAGGGAACTGAGCACCAAGCGTGCTCACAAAACCTAGCTGCTTGAGCACCATCTCAGAGATTTGATTTAAAAAAAAAAAAGAAACATTATAAGGAGCTGAATCAGCACTGTAGTCATAGTGGGCAAGTACAAGCGTGTAGCAGGAGAGGAGCGACTGGGCCTGTAGCAGGAACTGACAAGAACAAGGACAGTAACAGCAGAGTAAGACTACTTCTGAAATCCAGGGGCAAACCTAGGTAAGCCATCTGGGTTCCTTGCTTTCAGCTACTGTTAATCCCAACGGGCAAGAATAAGCCCACTGCCCCAGTTTTTGAACCAAATTTGAAGCAAAGCATTATTCAATATTAGCAAGGACAATGACCACTGGCCCGGTCCATACCTGGGATTCCCAGAGAATGGTGCCGAATCACGTTCATCAGGTACTTATAAAAGTAAGTAAACCCCACAAGGCTATGTATTTCTCACCTTGGTCCAGTCAGGGGAAAGCATATATCCTAACATATTTCCTACCTCCATGCGTGCCAACTTTGTGTGATCAACCACATCCTGTGCAGTTGGGGCAACCAACCTTGTTTACTGAGGAGAAAACACTTGCCTTTTAATTTTTCATGAACAGCCCCCAGCATTCCAGGAAGCTGTCTGTTCTTGGGCAAGTGGGGCCTACAGGTTAGATGCCTTAAGCACAGGAATTTAAATTTAAAACATAACTTTAGCCTTCACACTACTGTGTTCAGTTGACTGTAAAAATCACTAGTTTTGGAGGCCCTAAAGCTCAGTATCTTGTCCCCCACCCCCACCCCATTCTACTGTAGACGAAGCTCTGACCTGTGCGTCATGATGGTAACCGTTGCCTAGGGCACTTCTTAGGGATTTCTGTTCTACCTTCCATCTAATTTCTTGGGCCTGTGCAGAAATCAATGTGTGTGACCTTTTGATGTAGAGTATGTGTGGGAAAACTCCACCCATAGATCCTACTAATATCATGGATTTGCTAATACTGTCGTTTTGTGAGCAAGGGTCCCATGGAAGCTTTAATTGCACAGTCATAGAGCATTGAATGTGTCCCCTCTGATCACCTTTCAGCCTACTTTTTAATCCCATAATTATCTTTGAGCTCTCTCCTCTGGAAGACAGGTTTGAGATTTAGGTCTCATACATCCACGTTTCTCTGCCACTTTGTGAATACACTCTCTTTCTGCAAAATTCATTGTTTTGGGATCAGCAGATGCTTCATGGAACTGCTCCAGCAACAGCCCCAGAGCTAGGTTAAGAAAAACAGTGGGGGCCAGAAATTAAGCCAAAAAGTATTGGAAGGCCCAATCTACAGGCTTCAGACAACTTAAACAAACAAAGAGAGAACCCAGGAACTGCTTAGCAAATTTAAAGAGAAAGGGCAGGAATTTAGGCCAGGTTCCAACAATATGACCATGGGGTTATGTTTCTTTATTGTTATCCTTTTCTTTGTGACTATCCTGCTCCAGGGTGGTCTGATCTTAGAAATTTGGGTTACATCCTCTGATCAGGAAACTCTCCCATCCTAAAAGGGTCATGGAAGAGTGGAAGGACAGATATAAACACAACCATTTACACAATTCTTTGGTAACTGCTGGAATAGAATCTGTGTGGGGTTGTCTCCCTGTCATATCTATGCTCAGTGCTGAGATCAATTTGCTAGGTTGTTTCATAAGTAATACTGCCATTTAATTCCCGCTAATGAGCCAAAATTTCAGCAATGTCTATGCCACAAACAAACTGTATGTACGGGTACTTCTCTGTATGGACAGAGAAGAAAAAAGAAAAGGCCTTGTGCTCTCTTCAGGGGCAGCTATGGAAACAGAAGCATCATGCTGCTACCTGAGTTGTCATGGATGAGACTGAACAGTTCAATTCCCAGCACCAACCTGGTGGCTCAGAAGCATATGTAACTCCAATGTCAGGAGATCTGGCACCCTATTTTGGGCTCCAAGGGCACAACATGCACATGGTGCACAATCATACATGAAAGCAACACACACACACACACACACACACACACACACACACAGGGCATTGTTAGGCTCTTCTCCATAAAAGGAAGATGGTCAAGTTCAATTTATTCAGTTTATTCACTCACCACAGAGTGATTCCCAGAACTCCTGTGTTATCCTTGATTAGAATGATAAACCCGCTTGGAGATCTGCCTTGGCTTCCCAAAACCAAGGTCTAGTTTTAGTCTATTTATGTGTTCCCTGAACTTCCCACTTCTTTGGTCTTAAAAATATTTCCCATTTGCATGATATGTGGAGGAAGAACATAGTAAATAACACTGACTTCTGTGGGTTGCGTAACAGTGTTTATTTCCTTTAAATACATTTAAATATAAAACAGTGGTTCAGTAAACTTGAAAAGTACAAGCTGAATGGGAATTGCATGAGTGCTGATCATACAAACGAAATTCCACATAAGAAGGAAGCAGAATAACTCATAAGCATGGCACTTAGACTTTGCCAGTCTAAAGAATCAATCACGTGGCACCTACTACTACTCTGTTTCAGGCAACCTTTTCTCATTCATCCAAACAAGGGGCATTTGTCAGTGAACTGGGGAATCATCCAGCTGCTATTGCATGGAAATGTAATGATTTTACCATGGCACCAGGTAAAATCAATTTTTCTAACACCTGGAGCACGGGTGGGAAACAGTGACAGCAACTTGACAAAGCAGAGTGCTGTTTAAAATGACAAGGATGGGGAACTTGGAAGGAAGTTGAATCAAGGATTCTCTTGACTGTGGAGCCCCTGGGCCCTTGTCTCCTTTGGAAAGCACCAGTACTTTCCACAGGCTGGCTTTCTACTTGCACATGTTCTGGTGTGAAAAGGACATCTGTCCTCACAGCTGTCGCAAAAGAAAGTGAAGATGAGACTTTAGAAGCAAGGATCAACTTCAGATACGTCATTTGGCTCGGATTTCATTTAATTGTTCGCAAAGAAAAATTTCCAGACATGGACTTAAGGTATCAATGTACTATTCTACATGGGCACTCCACTGGCTGAGGATTCATCCCTAACAAAGATGTTGATACCACCTCCTGTGAGCCTGGCACAGCAGAAGAGGGACTGGGGAAAATGTAAGAATCAGAAGACAGAGAGAAGGGCTAGGAAACACTATCTTCTAGGCATGATGTAGACTTTGCAAGCAGGGACTCACACAGCTGTGATGATCTTCCCTAGACTTACAGGAGGCCAAACTCTCAACTATCAATTATGCATTTAGAAGGGACTCATCGGAGGTGGGGGTAATGGGCTGTAGGCTACTGGAGAATCTGGAATCACTGTCTTCAGTTTTGGTCCTATTGGTGGGTGAGCCAAACAAGCTCTGACATATAGTTCCAAACCTGTGCTCACACAAATGGCTCTGACTGCATTTATTGGGTCACAAAAAACAAAACAAAACAAAAAACAAAGAGATTTGAGAATGGGAAAGACGAGTAAGAAGGAAATGAGTTGTCAGGAATAGGCTGGAGTTGAGAGTGTAGGGGTAAAGGTAATTAGAATGCATTTTATATGTGTATGAAATTGTCAAAGAACAAATTTAATTAATTTTTAAAAATCTTGGTAGTTAGTTTGGGTAGACTTTGAAATTGATCAAAACGTAATCAATGGCCTCCAAGGGTTGTAGTCATTCTTAAGTTTCTTGCCGAGAGAGAGAGAGAGAGAGAGAGAGAGAGAGAGAGAGAGAGAGAGAGAGAGAGAGAGAAAGAGAGAGAGCGCCGAACCTCCCTTAACCCTGTTTAAATGTCAGTGGCTTCTTTTTCGCTCATGATAGCGTAATGGCAGGCATGGCAGTACAGGTCTGTAATTCCTGAGACCCTGTTTTGAAACAACAAAACAATTTAATCATCACTTTATATACTTCCACATATTTCTTAGATGCCAAATGTTTGTGTTCCTTTTTTTTTTTTTTGTAAGAGTGTGCTTGGGCAATGAGAGAAAAGAGCCCCAACAAATTAGCTTAATATGTCCTTTAAATGTCACCAGTAAACCAAGTTAAGGGGAAAGTGAAAAGACCATTGACCTGCAGGTGTCTGGGTGAAAAATCTTGTGCTTTTGGCAGCAGCTCTCCAGATTTTCTTTGCATTCAAAGCAACTGCAGTTTTCTGGGTGCTGAATGAGGCCGCCAGGACATGGTGCTTTACAGACGCACTCACAGCGATCTTCATCAAATGTCATGTGTGGTCCACAGAGAGCTGGTTCCTGGAGGTAAGAGTGCTCTAAACAGAAACAGGAAAGGGTTGCTTTGGCAACTGGAGCCTGGAGAATGTGATGATCCAAATTAATTGCAAGTTGTACATCTTCCCAATGAAGCTTGGACCCTCCCAATCTTCTTGTCTATATTTTTTTAACCTTAGTAGTTTCACAGGGTGGAAGAGATCCATCTGCTGTTTTATAACATAAGCATAGAACTCATGTGTTTTCTTAGATTTTAAATGAAAAAAAACCATAAGATGAATATTTCTGACAGAGTTTTATGTTGGTGACTGATCTGTTAAAATAAAAATTCTTGTGCTGGAGTGATGGCTCAAGGGTTAAGAGAACTCCCTGCTCTGGCAGAGGACCCAGGTTTGGTTCTTAACATCAACATGGCAATTTAAAACTACCCATAACTGAAATCTCGGGGTGGGGGGGTGGGAGTGGAGGACAGCTATTGTCCTCTTTTGGCCTGCATGGGCATTTCATGCACACCATGTAAAAGCAATACAGGCAAAACAAAGTAAAACACCACTCATACACATGAATTAAAAATAAACAAATCATATATATATATTCATGCAGCCAGCCAGTAATGAAAAGATGTAGGCTGTCTATGAGTATGAATGTAGTCCTCTCCAGTATTTTAAAAGAGCGGGAACCAGAGCACTAATGTTGTAGAAATGTTTTCCTCAGAATTTCCAAACAACCAATGATGCATTCCCTCATCTTAGATCACCACACTTGTATAAAACGTATAAAGGTAACAATGAACTGTGGTCCGATCTCGATCAGTGAATTGAGATATATTGCAAAAATGAGTAAGAGACAGGCTAGGAGGTGTGGCTTTCTGGGTAGAATGCTTGCTTAGAGTTCATGAGAAGTTCTGGGCTCAATCTCCAGTGGCTCCTGAACTGGGTGTGGTGACACATGACTGTCATTCTAGCACTCATTCTAGAGGTAGAGGCGGAAGGATCAAAAGTCCAAGGGCATTCTCTGCTACATATTGCGTTTAAGGCTGGACTGGAGCTCCTAAGAGCCTGTCTCAAATGGAAAGCAAAAGCAAACAATCAGTAGAGAAGGTGAAAAATTTTGAAGACCATGCACTTTTCATTTCCGCATTCATGAAGGTTTTCGAAGAAAATGAATATCTCTTCCCCAAACCTGCTTCTTGTCTAGTTTGCCTCATTTGGGGGCTGACATCATTGTCCACTAGGTCGTGTGGTCACTATTTCCACTCTGTCCCTTTTTCATACTCTCTCTTCTCCATGACACTACCTCTGTCACAACCCACCCAGTACCTTGTATATTTCTTGTGTCTGTGGCTGCCACTCGTGTCACAACCACAGCGTGCATCCCTACAGTCTGTCTCCCTCCTGTGACCATCAAATGCTAACCTAATCCCAATCACCACCAAAGCTTTCAATGTATTTTTATTTATATTTTTAAGACAAGGTCTTACTATGTAGCCCTGGATATTCCTGTGTCTTGCTATGTAGACCAGGCTGACCTTGAACTCATAGAGATCCACCTATTTCTGGCTCCTCAATGCTGTGATTAAAGATGTGAGCCACCATGCCCAGCCACGCTTTAAGTGTCTTAAAGTCTTCCTTCACACACAAAAGATCAAATTTTACATCAGGATATAAAAGACCTTCCATGATCTTGACCCTAAAAACCCTCCATACTCATTCTTAGCCCACCATTCCTCCCTCTCTTCTCCACCCACCTCACCTCAAAATGGCAATCTCTCATAATCCAGTCTCATGGGTTTTGACTGTTCTTTAATTGACACATATTTAGAAAGTAGCTGGACTGGATATTCACAAAGAGTCCATTTTGAATCTCATGAACAGAAAATAGATGAGCTGCATATGCTACAAATCCGTGAGGCAAATATCAATTTAGGGCAAGACAAGGAAGGCTTGATTACTGAAAAGGAGTTGACTCTTAAAGGATTCATATTTGAGCACTAGGTGGCATCAGAGACTCACAAGAAAACTCCATGCTGGCTCAGCAGAGTAGTTTAGGTGGAACTCGATCCTGAGGAGTTCAGCACAGTATGTGGCAGAAGCAGAACATAGGTCCTTAGCAAGTTGAAGACAACAGAGACAGGATTCAGGAGAATTAGGCTGAATAGCAACTAGCTGGGGCTGACACCTCGAAATATTATATATTGGTGTCTGTCCCTAGGGATGGATTACCAATGTATCTTGTCCTCAGCCTTGTTCCATTCACTACTATTGTTATGTTTTATTCATTAGGACAATGGAAATGAGTTGGACTCGCATCAACTGCATTCATTTGGAGAATAGATGACTGTCGACAAGGAACTTAGCTCAATCTTTTTATCCAGAAAAAGTGTTTAGTGCACAGAAAGTAATGTGTCATCGGCAGAATGGGACCACTGGAGAAACAGATGGGAGCTGGGGCACATGAGGATGTTATGAGTGGTGAGAACCAGAAATAACAGAGCTGCAACCAACTCTGCTTTCTCACCTCCACCATTGTTACAGCTTCCCCCCAAAGATTCCTGCCCCATTTTCTGCTCAAAGCAACTCATTCTCTTCTACACTGTTGCTGGCTAGATGTTTTTACAATTCCAACGGGTATTGCCACTGTCTTTCTTGAATCATGTGGGTGGTTTTCATTTGTCCAAAAGATTACATCCAGGCTCTTCCAGCACGAGCTTACTCAGTCCATTCACAATACAAGTATTCCTGGCTTCATCTCTTCATCCTTTCCCTCTGTATGTGTGTGCTCCCATAGTATTGTTAACCTTCATTGTTGACTTTACTGGATTCTAGTACTTACACCTCTGGGTGTACCTATAAGGATACTACCAGAGAAGTTTAATTGTGGAAGACCCACTGTAAATGTGAGCTGGGGAGTCAGACTGAATAAAATGAGAGAGGGGAACAGGAAACGCTGATGGGTAGGAGCTTGTCTGCTTCCTGGCTGTGAACACAATCTGATCAGCACTGCTCTTGCTGCCAGATCATTCCCAGCATGATGGACTGATCTGTGTCAAAGTGAAAGGCAAAATAAGGTCTCCTTCCCTCCCTCTTTCTCTCCCTCCCTCTCTCCCTCTTTTTTTCAGTCCTACTTTCTTTCTTTCCATTGCTTTTGTCAGATATTTTGTTACAGCACCTAAAAAGTAAGCAATGCATCCCCTGCTAACCTTTTCCAGCACTGGGTTTGTGCTTTGCTTTCTCATCTAAGCCCTGCTCAGAGCACATCTCTCCTTTCATCCTCAATATATGAACCTACCCAAGTGAGTCTTCCCTAGGAATTAACATCCCCCCTGAAAGAAGATACCCCAGCCAGGTGATGACCCCTCCCCAAGCCTGTAGGGCCAACCTGTTTATTTCAAGTGTTCTCCAAGAGAACTCCTTGACTTTGATTCCATGCAGTGGCTGATGGTGTTTTAGCAACTGCATTGTGGCATGCTGCCTCAATTGTCACCCTTTACTTCGTTGTGTCTGTGTACAAACTATATGTGTGAGCCTTTGACTATGTAACATCAAAAATATTTTACTTCACATCCTAGTTTGAGCTCATACAAAGGTGCTGAGAACCAGAACATCACCACAAGAGCAATAACAGCTTGTTATTTCATTTGTATGACAGATTCCATGGCTCTGGGCCCTTGCTATTCTTGCTAGGAGATCATAGTTTAAAACAAACAAGGCTCACATTGCATGGTCTCCTGTGATAGTTTTCAGTGGAACCATGTCACACGTGTGCAAATGAATTTAAAAACAGTAAACCCCTCATGTTTGTTCAGCCATATGTTCATCTTGGGATTGACAGCTCTAACAGATCGGGAGACATAATGGCAGGCTAGCAGTTCCCTGTGTGGTTTAGCCCAATAGCATGGTGTGCTCCAGTTATAGACAAATGTTTCCTTGTATCCTTCTTCGTTCCTTTATTTTTCCCTAGATTAATGGCTTGCTTTCAAATGATGCAGTTGGATGAAACTAAGTGCCAAATGACCTATGTGCTTCACCCCGAAGTAGTTTTCGTTAGAGTTTAACACCTGTTTTAGGGGGCTTTGCCCACTTTGTACTTTTCTTTGAGAATGAACAGCAGAGCAAACAAGAGAAGGCTGTAAAATCCAACCACTTCTGCCACTGTTATCTGTGGAGAATCAGGAAATGACTAGCTATCTCGGGGTAGACTCTGTGTGCTTGTAAAGAGAGGTGCTCATGAGTTGTCATGAACATTGTGTGATGTTGTGGCTTGACTCAGATACTTGATCCTCAGTTGTCTGGGGGAGGTTATGGAATCCTTAGGAGGCAGGGCCTTTCTGGAGGAAGTACATCACTAGAGGCGGGCTTTGGTGGTTTATAGCCTCACCCCAGTTCCTGCTTTATATTTGCTTCCTGTGTGCAGATGAAATGTGATCAGTCAGTTTCCTGCTCCTGATGCCCTGCCAGCTTTCTCAAATACCTTCCCCACCATGATGGACTCTATTACCCTCAAAGCATGAGTCAAAATATGCTCCTTTTTCCAGAAGTTGCTTTTGGTCATGTCATTTCATCACAACCACAGAGAAGTAACTAATACACCTGGTCATAGTGAATGCTCAGCCATGCTAAATGCTGTGCTCTTTTTATCAGTATGGTTATTACTTCACTACTGCCATCCTTACCTTCTGTCTCAGGCAGTGGATTCTCATCTTGTAAAACACATTTACATTTGGTGTTATCCCACAGCATGTCAATAGGACAGAGTTTCTTGGAATGAGGACATCTAGGAAAGGAAAGTAATGAACCAGATTTAAAAGGTTTTCAGGGTAATTCTACTTTGGGAATATTAAGTCATTCTTAATATTTATTAGCTAATAATCTAAATATTCTGTGTGGAGCATGCTAGGACTTTCAAATTTTGTTTCTAAGAGTGATACAGGGGAACAAATGTTTGAGATCACTGTCTCTCACGGCATGGTGACTGTGAAGAAATAACAACTATGTGAAAACAGTTTTAAAGACCTTAATCTTGGGGCTAGAGAGATGGTTCAGCAGTTCAGAACGAGGACTGTTCTTCCAAGGGACCTGAGATCTGTTCTCAACACCCATGTGGATCGGCTCACAACCACCTATAATTCCAGCTCTAAATGATCTAGCACTTTCTTCTGGACTCAAATGGTACATGCACAGATCTGCACAGAGCTACACACATGCATACACAGATACAAACCTAAACAAAATAAAATACAGAGCTTACTTTATATTAGGAATGGCACCTTATGAGATAATAATTCTATAGTTATAAATATTCTGTGAAGGAAACTTTAGAACCTAAACTTGAAGTTATGAGAGTCACTGCTTGCAAAGGAGTGCAGGAAGACACTGGAGCTATGAGGCTGGAGAAGTTTTACAATGCATTCAGCAACTCACGTTAAGAACAGAGGTGTTGGGCCAATGTGGCAGCACATCTTTAATCCTAGCACTCCAGAGGCAGAGGCAGGCAGATCTCTGAGGGTTCAAGGGCAACCTGGTCTACATAGTGAGTTTCAGGTCAACCAAGGGAACAAAGTGAGATCCCGTCTCAAAAAATCAAAATCCAAAACAAACATACAAAAAAAAAACCCCACGCAGTAAAACCCCAAATGTGTCTGTGACTAAACATGCTGTGTTCATAATTCTCAAGGTTTGGAGCCCCACTGAAATATAGATATAGCACCTAGTAAAAAATAATGTGTTTGTCAAATCCTATGAGTAGATCTGGTTTTGAAGCCAGAAAATGAAAAAAATTTAATGAAGAGAATGTAATTTTTGTAACTTTACTTGTATCTTTTTCTATTTGTGTCTTCAATATTTTATTAGTGTATATTGTAAAAAAAAATAATGTTTTTCACCATACCATATTCATGCATGCATAAAATATACTTCACCTGCACTCCTCCCCTCTCTTCTCCCCTTTGCCTCCTCCTCTTCATCTGCTTCCTTTCCCCTAAAAATTCCCCCCTCTATTTTCATGTCTTTTTGTTTTTTAATGCTCCATAAAACAGAAATCGTGCAATACATGTCTTTCTGGGGATACCTCTATAATGAGTAAAGGAATGTACACACAGTTTTGTCAAAAGCAAGAACAGACATTATCAAGTCCAGGAAATGCTTACTGATCTTCTTCTGGGATCTCAATGGATCTTCTGATAATTGAGTAAGGATGGCGGGGCCCCGTGGGCAAGCACTTGCAACCCGTATGGTTGGCAATTTTAACAGGCACTAACTCGGGCACTGATGTCAGAGGCACTGATATCTCAAAGAGCTACAGCAAAGAAAGAGAACCATGATATAAATTTTATTGCATACTTTTCTCAGCTTCCACCATCTGCATTTTGCCCTTATCCTTTATGGTAATGACTTTAGCAAAGTTATTCATGCGCAGTGGAGTTAGTCATTGTAAGTGGTTTGAAATGCTGGGAGTCAGGAGACAGGAGGGCTTATCTGGTTTGGTCTCCTAAGTGTTTTCCGAATCTGTTCTTTTCACCATCATTAGAGTTCTTTAAAATCCCTGGTCTCTGTTCTTGTTTTTAAAATTGAGTATAAATTGTAAGGATAAACAAAATTAAATCTTTGGCGGTTCTTTGGGACTTGGGTGGATTTGATTATTATTTAAACTATTTACTCATCCCTTCCCAAACCATTTCTATTGATGACAATTTCCTACCTCCTGACATTGAGCTTGTCCATAAAACTTGTTTTGGCCAATAAGATGTTAGCTGTCATGACACAGTACAAATTAGGACCGTGCATGCTTTGCAAGGTTTATTATCTCTTCCTTATGGTATAGCCATGAAATGGATACAGCCCGGAAGCCATGCTAGTCATAGGAAGCAGACTTGAACTCACACAGCACCTTGGAGAAATTTGAACCTCAGATACACAAGAGAGAATAACTTAAAGCCCCTGAGTTTTAGGGCATTTGCTATAAAAGTATTGTGTATGTTGTATGTTACGATCATACCCAGACAGATAATTATAGCTAGTATGCTTATTTCTATGTTACTATATGCCTTCTCTTTTGTACATACTTAATTATTAATTTATTTATCATTTGTAAAATCATTATATTTGGGGGCCTGGAGAGATGGCTCGGTGGTTAAAAGCACTTGCTGCTCGTGCAGAAGACCTGATTTTGGTTCTCAGCACCCATATCAAGTGGCTTACAACACTGGTAACGTCAGCTCCAGGAGATCTGGTGCCTTCTTTTGGCAGTCACAGGCACTGCACTCATGTGGCAGACACACAAGACTAATATAAATAAAAATTTTAAAAAATAATTTAAAAGGCATTATATTTATTCATGATCCTTACATGACAGATAGAGAAAGAGGTACCCAAAGAGCACACACAGGTTTCAAGAATGTTTTCATGAAGTGTAGATGAACTTGAGCTTAATTTTAAGGGACTGTCCACTCAGTCACCATTCCATGCAGTTCTATTTACTTTGGTTCTAATAAGATAGTTGATCACGTGGACTGTACCTTTAAGATAGGAAGTGCCAAACTACATACCCATCTGTTTGGAACAAAAAAATCCTGCTGTGCACTTACACTTGAATAAATTATTTCATGTGAATCATTTGTTGAGTGCTGCAGTCAAAAACTATCTACTAAGTGGAAACAATTCATTCAGGTTGTGTTTATTTAGACTTTTCGACATGTCATGAAAACAAGAACAAGTAAGGGTATTTTTCAGCATAAATTTCATGTTCTTACACAATTCTTCAGTTATCCTCTAGGGAATAGCACGATTATGAATTGAACCCTCTTATGTTATGCAAGCTTGGTTTTACTAACAGTTGATCGTAGCCATACATTATTGTTTCTAATTATCAAATAGGGTCAGATTTCTGATTTCCACAATTCTCCCAAAGGATTTAGGCAAAATTAATGCTACAGTGTCACGAACAGTTTAGATGGTAGAAAGAACAAAATTAAGAAAACTTTAACCTAGTAACAAAACAAATGGGCATTTAGAACATTCCTTGGCATAGATTTATTTGACGCCTATGTAATTGTCTTCTACATGATCATAAGGAGACAAGAAAATGCTAGGTGAGTTGTATTAACACATGAGGAATGTGCAACAGAGGACCAACAGGAATGTGGCTTGATTTCCAATGTTTTGATAATGCATCCATTACATTTTACAAGAAGATGATAGCTGTAGAAAAGAACACTTAGCTACAGGGCAAAAGGTGATATGATTGAGTCACTTGATTTCTCTCATGAGGACTGCAGGATGCTTTCGAAAGTCTTGTGCTGCCTATTGTTCCTTTGTTCTCCATGCTACGGCAGTGATCTAGACATGTTCTCCCTTCCCTGTTGGGCTCTGTGCCTGCAGTTGCTGGCCCCCATGACTGTCTGCTTTGCCTCTCCCAGCACCTGCTTACATTCCATGCCATGCTAATGGTTGGCAACTGAGAAGTCCTCTACCATTCTCCCTGTGTTCTATGCCTGCTCCCTCCTTCAGCCTCTTTAGTTTTAGGGTGAGAGCACACCCCTCCTTTTAGGTGACCCTTGTCACATTTACCCTTCAAGAAACTTTTCTCAGTCTCTCCAACTAAATTAAATACACCAAGACAGCTACATGAGATGGCACAGCTTCCTTTTTTTTTAAATGCCCTGTTATGTACCATCCATATGTACTAATTCTTGATAGTACAGCATTAGGTGGATGATAACTGTTGAGGCTGTGCCGTGTTAGATATTGTGTTACCTCCCTGAGCCTCTGTTTCTTTGCTTGTAAAGGAGGCTGAGATATCCCGCGTGTTTGTTTGGGGAATTAAATGAGGTTTGGCACATAAAGTATTTAGTGCTTGGCAGCAAGGTCAGCGGCAGCGTGTTCATTTCCTCGTACCTGTTTGGAGATGTAGGAGGTGCTTGTGTTCATACACATCACACTCTCTTCGTTGCAGCAGCCTCCACACCGGAAGACATTTACACAGGGGGGCTTGAAGAATGTGTTGGTTGTCTTCCCCAGCTCACTAGCGACTTCTACGCATGTTTCTCTAGGGCTGCATTGGGTCCTCTGCCATTCTTCATCTATAACTATAGGAATAACGTTCATTGGGGCCAGTAGGCAAAATGGCCCTGACATGAAACATAGGCATTTCACAACACACACCCCCACACTCTGTCCTTTTGTACTTGCTTATTTCACTTGGTGGACATTTAAACATGTCTTTTAGAAATGTATTTATTTTATTTTATTTTATTTTATTTTATTTTATTTTATTTTATTTTATTTTATTTTATTTTATGTGTATGGGTATTTTGCCTGCATGTATGTGTACCACATGTGTGGTTGGTGCCTTTGTAGGCTAAAGGAGGACATTGGATCCCTTGCAACAAGAGTTACAGATAGTTGTGAGCTACCATGTGGAAATTGAACCTAGGTCCTATTCACGAGTGACAAGTGATCTTAACCACCAAGAAACCTTTTTAACACTTAGATGGCTATTTTTCTCCATCCTTTAGCCATTGATACCATCACTTCATAAAATATTTTCTTTCCCCTTAGGGGAGAGCACTATACCTTGCATATAGCTACACTGGGGCCATATACAAAGGGTGGCTAATAAGAAGTCAGTGGAACAAGGTGAAGACAAAAAGTGTGAGTGTTGTTCTACTATTTGAAGCCAGGTAGGAGTAGGTTTTAAAATGAGTATCTGTTGCCTATTTGTGTAAGTGCACTGAGACTTGGCAAACACACGAGTGGACATTCCAAGGGAATTACATTTTTCTCCAATCAGACTTTCCACATTTGGAACCATCCAATAGTTTACAGAAGATGATGAAATAAGCCCTTTCATTTTAACAGAAGGAGCAACCCCATGGCCATAACTAATTTGAGGGAAACCAGAAAAATAGAAATACAACTCTAGCGATAAAAAGGGAAATATGGGGCTGGGCAGATGGCTTTTGGGGGAAAGTGCTGGCTGCACAAGTGTGAGGACCTTAGCTCAGATCCTGAAAACCCACATAACAGCTAGGCACACTGATGTACTACGATCCCAGTGCTGGGAAGGCAGCGACAGGTGTCTCTTTGGGACCTGCTGAGCTCCAGTTCCAATGAGAGACCCTATTTCCAAAACTAAGTTGGAGAACGATGACTAAAGAAGACGCTCAGCATTGATCTCTGGCCTTCAGATGCACAAACAGGGACACATCTATCTATATGCATGTGCACACATGCGTGTACCACACACCTGCATGTAAAGAATAGTACATACTTTTCTTGTATAGCTTCGTTTCCTTTTCTCTCACCATTTGTTTCCTTTATTTTGAGACAGAGTCTCACTGCAAAGTCCTGGCTGGCCTGGAACTTGCCATGTAGACCAGACTGGTGGCTTTGAATGCAGAGATCTACCTGCCTCTGCCTCTTGAGTGCTGAAACTAAAGGTGTGCATCATCATGCCTAGTGTTTACCATTTTTAAAATAATTATTTTAATTCTGTGTGTGTGTGTGTAAGAGAGAGAGAGGGTAGAGGAAGAGGGAGATGGAGAGAAAGATAGAGACAGACACAGAGAAAGGAGAGAGGGGAAGAGAGTGCGAGACAGACAGACAGACAGAGAAAGAGGGACAGAGAGAGAAAGAGATACAGACACAGAGAAAGAAGAGAGGAGAGAGTCAGAGAGAGAGAGAGAGAGAGAGAGAGAGACAGACAGACAGACAGACAGACAGACAGACACAGACACACAGACACAGACACAGACACAGACACAGACACAGACACAGACACAGACACAGACACAGACACAGACACAGAGAGAATGTGTCTGCAAATATCAGAGGTGTCAAATTCCCTAGAGCTGGCATTAAAGGCAATTGTCATCTGCCTAATATGGGTGCTAGGAACCCAGTTGGGGTCCTCTGAAAGAGCAGTGTTTGATTGTAACAAGTGAGTTCTCTCCAGCCCCACTCTCAGCGTTTTGTAAATTAGATTTTGACTCTTAATGCTGTGTGTAGCCTCCCTACCATTTTTTTTTTCTGGGGGGAGGGCAGGAGGAGTTGCTTTCAGCTTGTCACAGATGGAACTGCAGACTATGTTATACTAGGAATGTGTTGAAACTCTTTTGTAGTAAGCAGCTTTAACACTAACCTCTGCTGATCCCCAGTTCCTGGTGGCCATGCCCTGTACAAGCTCCCCTCCTTTTTTTGTGCTGATGAGAGCCAGTGGTTGGCTTTTTGTGAAGAGAACACAGCAAAGCAGGATGCTACTACCTAGGTGCTTAGGTTGAAACTATTTTCTCACTTTGTTTCTCTCCTGCGCCCACCTCTCTTTATCCTCTCTTTTTTCCTCCCCACTTCTTTTCTCACCAAGGGCCACTTTTAAAAAAGATTCATTTCACTTTTATTATGTGTATGTATGTGTGTATGGGGCGGTGCACATGTATGTTGGGGTGGGGTGCACGTGAGTGCAGAGCCCTCAGATACCAAAAGAGGGTAACAAATGCCCAGGGAACTGGAGTCCTGAGTGGTTGCAAACCACTAGGAACCAAACTTGGGTTATCTGCAAGAGCAGTATGTCCTTTTAATCTCCACACCACCTTCCAGCCTGAAAGTCAGTTTTGAAGCTACCTCAAATGGTGGGCTCTGGCCAACAGCCACTGAAGAAAGAGGCCCTTCACAGTCCAAGTGCCTGTGTGGAACTTAATCTTGTAAATAATTGAATGAACTTGCAAGTACATTGAGATGCTCAGAGCCCAGACCAAGACCAACCTTGACTGTAGCCTCCAGAGAGACCTTGAATCAAAAGAAAAAAACCAAACATCTTGGCGATGCCTGTATTTCAGATCCACAAAGGCATGAAAATAAAAATATCTGTTTTACAAGTAGGGTGATACCTGAAGAATGTTTCTGTACACTGTCTTTAAAATTATGTATTGATAGACCTGGAGAGATGGCTGAGAAGAGTGCTGGCTGGGACCCACATTTGGTTCTCAGCATCCATACAGATGCTCACATCTCTTAACTCCAGTTCTGGTGGATCTGATGCCCTCTTCTGGCTTCCATTGGGTACTGCACACAAGTGGTACGCAGACAAACATACCAGCAAAACACCAATACAAACACATAATATAAAATGAACATTTAACTAAAGGAGGGGCTATCTGGAGACCATTCCACCTGGGTATCCATCCCATGTGCAGTCACCAAAGGTAGATGCTGATGTGGAAGTCAGGAAGTGCATGCTGATAAGAGCCTGATATGGATGTCTCCTCAGAGGTCTTCAAGAGTCTGACATATTCAGAGGCAGATGCTCACAGCTAACCATTGAACTGATCATGGGGTTCCCAATGGAGGAGTTAGAGTGAAGACTGGAGGAGCTGAAAGGGTTTGTGGCCCCATGAGGAGAGCAACAATACCAACCAACCAGAGCTCCCAGGGTCTAATCCTCCAGCCTGGGAGCACTTAGGGAGGGACCCATGGCTCCAGCTGTATATGTAAGGGAGGATGGCCCTGTCGGGCATAGGTGGGAGAGGATGTCCTTGGTCCCATGAAGGCTGGATGCCATGTGTGGGAGAATTCGAGGGTGGGGAGGTGGGAGTGTGGGAGGGAGAAGGGGGTACATCCTCATAGAAGCAGGAGGAGGGGGGATGGGATAGGGGGTTCCTGGGCGGGGCGGGGGAGGAATGGGGTAAGGGGATAACATCTGAAATGTAAATAAAATATCCAATTAAAAAAATAAAACAAACATTTTAAAATTTCTGATGATTAAGTTATCCTCAGGCAGTATTTAATTATTTAATTAAATATTATTTATTATTAATTTAATTAAGTATTTACTGGGGATGCTATTTCAATTGCTACTATTAGTCATAAATCTTTGGAGGAAGTAACTTATGAAAACTCCCTTGTTTCAAATGCTATTTAAATGTTACTTTCTACTTGCTTTTTGCCTTTAAAGTTCTAAGTTTTAAACGTTGGAGAAGATTACAATCGACCAATGGCACTGAGTAAGGTTTCATAAGGTCAATGTTCTTTACTACTGCCCAGGGAATTACCCTGAAATCCATGAGAGGAGTAGATAACAAATCATAATTGGTGTGACACACTTATTTGATTATCCCCTGCTTGTAACTTAGTGAATAACTTCAGATAATCCTCCATATAATTAGGAGGGAAAGCATGGAGGCTGCAAATTCTCCAATTTTTGTGGCTTTCTCCTTATAAAATGTCAACCTGGCTGACTTTTAAAAACCACCGAGTAGTGTTTTTATGGTAAGGATTGTCTCCAGGGAGCATCTGTACATTCCCCTCGGACCTTCAGACTGGTAATCTTGTCAAAGCCTGTGCTCTCCAGATGTGCTTGGTTTTTGTGAAGTCCAACTTACTTGACACACAGTCTCATGCATGAACACAAAGGACCTTCTTCACACTTACACTGCTGTGGGATTCCTTTATCTAAATATAACTTTCCCCGTAGCCAAATCCTGTGTGTATGTGTGTGTGTGTGTGTGTGTGTGAGAGAGAGAGAGAGAGAGAGAGAGAGAGACAGAGAGAGAGAGAGATTGCAAAGAAACAAAGAGAACTGTAACTATTTTAAAAGGATACTTTTTCTTAAGGATCAACTGAAATTAAAAAATAAATGTACTCATGTATCATGAAATCATATTTATATCTATAAGGCTAAGTCTAACAATGACTCTGGTTTCTTGAGTTGTTTTGATATGTCATCAGAGAGGTAAAGGCATAATCAAGGTCACACAACTTTATTTTAAAACATCTCACTCATTGTGGCATAATATGTATAAACAGCTGTCTTATAAAGAGTCTGTTTCTCAATCTGGATATCATTAAAATGGTATAAATGTACACCACATGTCCATCCCCACCCCTACTCCAGGAAGCAATTTAGAAGTATAATGGTTCCTTGATGTCTATGAAAGACTGACTCCAGGACACCTTACAGATACTAAAATCTTTGAGTTACCAAGTCCCTTATATAAAGTGGGCTAGAATTTGTAAATAGCTCACCAACATTTTTCTGAACACTTCAAATCATGTCTAGATAGCTTCCAGTAACCAATAAAATGCACATATGCCATATGAATAGTTGTTTCAGCACGTTGTATGCCAAGAAAAGGTCTGCATATGCTCAGTAAACATGCATTTCCCGTAAGTATGTGTGATTGGCTGAACCCAAGCTGTGTGTGGGTCGGGGAGAGAACCTGAGGATACAGAGGTTGACTATATGTTATTTTCTACTTGTAAGCCTTGATTATTTCATGTCAAAAAATGTCTTTGTTGTTTTCTGAGTAACCATTACTATGCCTCACCTTTCAACATCTCCCTTTCCGCTTAAAAAAAAAAAAACCCCACAGGATTTTGAAGAGAAAAAAATCTATAGCTTAACGGTTGGTTTTTCTCTGTCTGCATAGCAATTGAAAACTCCTTGTTGATAAATACCTGAGGTTCGTTTGCTCTTAAGCAAACATGTTTTTCCCCTCACTAAAATTAATTTTTCTGTATTTGCTTTGCCCTCAAATTTCTGAGTTAAATTTATTTTGATAATTTGAATGTCCTTGTGTTATATGCAGATATAAAAATCATACTAAGTATACTTCTTTGTGGAGTAGACACTTAAAAATCAGAATTCTTGAGCTGGCAATCAGAATTCTTGAGCTGGCAAGATGGTTCAGTGGCTGAATATGCTTGCTGCCAAGCCTGAAGACCTGTGTTGGAATCCTTGGCCCCACAAGGTGGAAGGAGAGAACTGATTCCTGAAATGACCGGTTTCTTTATTTTTTATATTACATCAATTTATTTATGGAGGGCCCACGTGTCTGAGAACCATTCCCAACTTTATTCAGTGAAGCATCTTGTCACAAAGTCAACACCCTTTTGACCCCCACTGATACATAACTATGCTGCTCAAACGTTTGGAAGAACTTGGTGCTGGTGTCACTATCTGATAAGGAAAGAGAAAACCACTCTACTCATGCACCTACCTTTTAGTGTTTCAGTGTCATAGAATGTTGCCGCAAATCTGGTGGAGCGATGGGATGTTGAGCGAGAGTCCATACTGGCAAGACTTTTGAGCTTCAACCGGCATCGCCACAGCTTCCAGTCCTCAGAGTGCGCGATTTGCAGCAACTCCTCCAAACTAGAAGCTGCTCGGATCTGTTGTTCAGAACGTTCCAACACGGACCGGGATGATCGCTCAAAAGAAAAATCCTAATTAAGAGTGAGTTACAAAAGTATCTTGATAACCATAGTTGCTAACAGTTTAAACTATAGACCATCTGAAAAGAAAATAGTTGAGGTTATTCTGATGTGGACTTGTGTCTGGAAAAAAAACAGTGTTTAATGGTGGAGTTTGAAATGCTGGGTCTACTTTCTTACTTTCTTTCTTATTCAGGAAAAAAAAAGCACACATAATGTAGGTTAAAGTCTTTGTGGTATTAGTCACATAAACCCAAACTACAGTGAGCAAGGTCCTTAGAAGCCAAGAGAAATGTAGACACAGCAACGCCACATGAAGATGGAGAAGGACATGAAGTGATGACACCACAACTCAGGGAGTTGCTACCAGAAGCAGATGAGGCAATGCTTCATGCCAAAAGAATTTGACACCTTGATTTGGGGGATTTTGTTGTTGTTCTCAGTACCAAATTTATGGTACTTTGCTACTGCAGCCACAGAAAAGCAGCAGAGATTCTTCTATTATACTAATTTTGTGACAACAGCCACTGATTTCCTAGTATATGCTGAAATCTCACTGTTTCTCTACAGGAGTGTCTGATTTGCAATGGCTAATACAGTGCAACTAGACTAGATGGGTATATTTGTGGGGTCCCAAGTCAAGAAAAGATTTTTGATATGTAATTTCTTGTTCAAATGTAGGGGCTTAGTTATATGAAATAATGATGCATACATACAGCTATATACTATGCCATCAAAACCATGAAAACCAATGGAGCCCATTTCCTACTGTAGTTTCTCCCTCAAGCACTGGGGATCAGTCTTTGGGCTTTGTACATGCTGGGAAGGTACTTTGCCAACTAAGCTATCTCCCAAGTTCTGGAGCTGAGTTCTTGATTGCTTCTCTTTCCCAGACTCAGATCTATCAGTCCTGCAGCTTTAACTTTATGGTTCCATAGTTTATCAGCATTTTCCACTTAGATTGCCTTACGTGTTTGTTTACCATTGTTTTCTTAACATTTATAGTCCATGAACTAAAAAAGTCTCAAAATATGTATCGTCAAGGTTATGCCTTTTGTTGTTGTTCTTGTTCTTGTTTTGAGGCCAGTGCTCATTTTGTAGCCAAGGATGGTCTGGAAATTGTGATCTTTCTGCCTCAGCTTCTAAAGTCCTGTGTGACTGTGCCTGGCTAAAGCCACCTCAGCCATTTTATCTAAGTTCAGATGGGAATATACACATGCATGTATGTACGTTTTTGCCTGGGGTAGGAGAGTATTAAATATATTTGTAAGCTTTAGGAAAGGTGTTATTTGGACCCCGTATGAAGATATAAAAAGACCACCCTTGGAAACAGGTGAGCCGCAGGAGCTGTGTGGCTCTGTAGAGAGCAAGATTGCCTCAGAAGGTCAGAGAGATTATCTTGGTGGTTTCTCACATCCCTCTAGAGTTGGAAACAAGGACATTTTTGTCAAGGGAGAGAAGGAAGCTTAGCGAGCACAGCTGGAGTGTGTGAGCAGGGTGGTGAACTTGAGGAGCATGGTCCAGCTTCTTTAGTTGAGAACCCTGGAGACAAATCTGAACACTTGCTCATTTCCATGACAGCCCTTACACTTAATGATCCTAATGTGCCAGTGGCCTCTCTTTGCCTGACTAATCCCCTCCTCTTTCTAGTTCTATGGAAAAGCTACCTCACATCGATTCGATCTTCAAGATAAAAGGGTTTGACAGCATTGCTTCAATAAGCTAGTGAAGAAGACTAACATATACTTTAAAAAAAGATTATTAAGTTGGGCTCAGTGTATGTGTGTGTGTGTGCACATCTGCATGCTTATGCATGCTTATGTGTATAACAATAATTACAGAAGAAGAGACCATGAATTTAAGGAGTAGGGGAGAGTCAGAGAGAACTGGATGGGGGGAAGGGAGAGGTGAAAATAATATATGTACAAGTACTCATGATGAACTCCTCTAAAATTTTAGAATAAAAATTATTATATTGTACTTTGATGAAAGAATTTTCATTTATGGATGTAAAATTTCATCTAATACCATCCTTGGATAAGGTTGATACATGGCTTCATACTTTTTACAGGTCTCAATTCGATTTCAGGATCTTTTAAAAAAATCCTATGTTAAAAACCTTAGGATGAAGTAGTAATCCTGCAGATTGAATTAAAATAGTGAATGATGTGAAGACTAAATAACTCCTATGACTGGTTTCTTTGTAAAACCACAACATTGACTTACATACGCAAAGCTATTGAAAGCCTACTTAGTCTGCTAACTGAAAACCTAGTGTGAAATAACCGAGAAATTGGAAACACTCATTTTATAATTCTAAATGGAAACACTAACGACTCAAAAAAAAAAAAGCAAGTCATTTATCTAGGGCATACATTTGGGAAAGGCTGGAAATGGATCTCAATCATCATTCTACACTGGTGGATGTTTGTGTAATCAACTTTATATTATCCGCACGCGTAGGAGAGAGCTCAACATCAAAGTGTGACTATCGTCCCACACACCTAAACCTTTGATTGCAGAACTTTTGCCAAAGGAGTTGCTCTTTACTTCTTCCAGTTCTCTGGTACAAGTGCTATTCAAATCTAAACTGATTAAAATCAGCCAGCAAGATGAGAGGACGAGAGACAGCATTCCCACGTCTCTGCTTCTTATTAGAGTGGTGGCCTTGGTTCTGTAATTAGTTCAAGACTGTTAGAGATTCTCCTCTTAAATAACAAATCATTCTCTGATGGTTTTTAGCTACCAGAGAGCAGTTTTTAAAGCACAGGGTTGAAGGTCTCTGCAATACTACTTTGTCATCATATAAATATTACTATACATAGAGCAAAGCTGGTTCTAGAGACCTAGGTGGTTACATTCCTAACAGGTCACCAAGATATCACCACACTGTTGTTTGCTTTATTCCCTCTTGGGAAAGATTTGGAGCACAGGTTTCCAGACTTGCCTTCACCTTGAATGCATGTGGGAAAAAGCTTCAAAAAATACTGATGAATTGACCTTATAATCAGAGTTCTATTTTACAGGTTTGGACCATAATTTCAAAAGAAGAAAAAGAAAGAGAGGGAGGGAGAGGGAGGGGAAGGGGGAGGGGGAGGGAGAGGGAGAGAGAG